AAATGCGCTAAATGTGCTTTTACGCGTAAGCAAAAACAGCCTATTATGAACAGCAACTATTGTTAAGTGCTACAAAGTTGAAGATAATCGATTTTTGAGGTACCAGCAAACCAAGATTTGAATGTAAATAAGCCGTGGAAACAGTTGAAAAAAATAAATAAATTTTCAAAATCGAAATTTCCGCGGCAACCACAAAAATGCAGTCGCTAATAAGGCAATTCGGTTGCCAGCTTTCAGTAGCCAGTTGCCATCTGTAATACAATTTCAGTCGCTGGCAACTCAACTGAAGTTCGGTTGCCATCCGTAATCGACCCATAATTCTCATTCGGCAGTTAACTATAGGTTTTCAGTACAAAAATTAGAAGTTAACTGCCGAATTTAAGTTAACCCCTCACTGTGAAAACGGCACAGAGACCAGAATTTTGTAAGTCCGTATTCAATGCGTGTACTCATCACACATGATCTTCAAAAGTGACGCAACTCAAAATTTGGAATTTTTGAAATTATGTGCTAAAAATGTACAGCGAGCTTCTATTTGTCTTTAAGCAAAAGCTGGATAAAATTTTTGTTATAATTTATAACAAGCGGGCCCATGCGCAGACTGCGCAGACAGAAATACACAGTAAACTCATCCCTCTTTGTAGCCAGAGATAAAAGCAGACTGTTCTAATAGTTCGCGGAAATAGTTAACAGAATTATTCTTATGAACCCCTTATTTTTATTATACATATATAACAAAACGTGAATGAGATTTATAGTACATCAGAACTTATACTTATTAGGTACATAAAAACATATTACAAACTGACTGATATATGAGTGTCATGAGTTGAGGAAAACATGGTGTTACTTACAATATATCTTTGTATACAATATTTGAGGTGAAAATATATTCAGAATGAACTTTTTGATTAAATATTTCTTTAACAGAAACAATATCTGAGCTAAGGGAGCGGTGCGAGAGAGACAACTGTCAGTTTATCGAACCTTTAATTATTGACACCTTTAGTGTGGCTTATCTATGGTAAATTAAAAACAAAAATAAAATTACAAATTTCTTGACTTCAGTGGTGTTATGACCATTAATATTACCTAATAACCACTCAGGGGACCTCTCACTTTTCAAATTACACCTCATTAGTGAAATTGCTTACATAGAAAAGTAGAAAAAGGGAGACTAACAAAAAAACACCTTAGAGAAATAATATATAAGATATAATATCTAAGGTAAAGTCTCTCCTGCCCATATGATTAGATTAGCATGTGCTACGAACTAGTTTTTCGCATTTTCTGACGAACGTGTTATTTTGAGTTGTGTCACTTTTGAAGATGGTGTGAGATATGTATGTCAATCATCATACCAATTGAAAAAATGCATTCCAACTAAGTCATATAGTCCGCATTGGCCTTACTACAAATCTGCCAATATTTTTTTTCAAACTTTCCCGTTAGCGAGACCGTGTATGAGATCCGTATTGTGTGCCAATAGTTAAAACCCGTATACGAGCGACCCGTCCCAAACCCGTATGGTGTGCCAAAAATTGAACCCGTAGCAAAATCCGTGTACAACAACCGTATTGTGTGCCAATAGTCACTCCGCTGATAATTTTCTTTATTGTAACCTCTCAGTGGAAAATTAATTTACAAATTTCACAGCAATTTTAATTTCTTTTTGCTTGGTTGTTCTAGTGAATCACTTTCAGATTCATCCTTTACGGTACTAAAATCATAGCATCTTTGTTTATAATCATGCATCTCTTCCTCCTCTTCAGAGATATTGGAAAACACTACAGGCCCTGAAGCCTTTAAAGTCATAATTGTTTTGCCAGTACGACGAGATTCTACAAAATATACGAAAGTTTGATTTTTGTACAAATCATCTACATCTTATTAGGTGTTTACCAGCTCTCAGAAATAATTGCCTGCACGATTTATCCACGGCGTTCTTCCCCTGATCCTCTGATAATCCAAATATGTATGACCTAATTTAAATTCGTATATAAGTAGCATGAAAATACCAAAATAAATGAGCTTTTTATAAATATCTTACAAGTTTGCCACATCGTAGGGTCCTCGCAATTCAAAGGCATTCTTTGCGCCGCTACTAAAAATAATATTTCTTGATTTCCCACGAACACAGTAGTTGTGTGCCAACTTTATCATATCTTTCCGTATGCAATAATCTTTTGTAGCTGGTCCATATTTGATTTCAAAAAACATTCCCCGCTTTACAGCCATTTGATATGCCTTTCGGTTCACCAACAACTTGACTCTTGTTTCCATGTCGAAAGTCACCAAGTCACCAGAGAAACTGGTGCAACAGTGCTAGAATTAGAAAGTAAAGGTTTTTACAATTAAAAAAAAAACTCATAAATGTAACATTGGGTTACAGTCAAAGCGCCGTCAGTCTTTGGTTGACCAGCAATTATGTTGTACATTCTGAGGTTTTGGGAATTCGTCTATGAAGAAATGAATTGTAATCGATAAAAAGAAAAACATTTGTTCTTTGATACCATTGCGTGTGCAATTCCAACATCAACGTATATAATTGTCAACCTCTTTAGGATTTTGACTTGGTTCTTAAACTCATCTTCCAATTTTTTCAGTATAGTAGGTGCAGGAAATATGTCCGGCGTCCGTTTGGTAACATCTCGTTTACTGTGATCATACAATTGATCTATAGCAATGGTTTTGTAGCCCACTAAAAACAAACAAAAAAAAAA